GTTTGAGAATATAAGCATCCGATAAGAATAAAGTTGGTACACAAAAATTAGTAGACAAAAAACTTGTTATCTGAAAACAAATGTAGCGTGTAAAAATAATTATTTCTATGAAAATAAATGATAAAGAAAATGACGAGAATCGAAATCTGAGATGCTGTGCCGTAAATTTTAACTTTTCCAAAAAATCTTATTCGTACATTTAGCGAATTTTATGTGGAATTTTATTTATCAAATTTTTTCACAGTGTACATTTATGAAATATTCTGCCGAGGGAAAGTAATTTAAAGATACCTTAAAACACAATAAAAGATCATAAAAAATCTTTTTGACGTCACAAAGATATTATTCCAGCTTTAGAGCCAGACCTATTCAGATCACTTTAATAGCTATAGAAAGCGTCCGCGCGAGTTAACTAGAAATTACAGCTTTTTGCGTGGCACTCCGCGCGAGTTAATCCAGGACAATAATGCAAGGAACTAATAATACCTTTGCCAGGCGCTGCACCGGGCGTAATACAGTTGGCAGCAATGCTATGTGCAGAAGAAAAGAGGACATAAACTACGGCCATTCACTCGCGATTTGCACCAAAATTTTATTGTAACGAAAGACCTTATAATGACGAGGCATAAAACGTAAAAAATGAAAAATAAATGCTTTCTAGAAATTTTATTCGGATATGACAATTTAAGTAACTTAAAGATTTCTTAAAAGAAGAAGATTGTTCATCTGATTATAATTAAAATTGTCTACAAAGATAAAGATTTGATTAGAAGCGTGGCGATTTTAAATATTTCTTTTGTACATTTGCACTTAATGTATGCTAACGGGCGTGCATTTAGGTCGCGGTGCGAAGTGCATGAATACAATTACGCATCAAGTAAGTATTGCAGGCGCGTTTTCGCGACACGCCAACGAGCGAGTTTGTTTTGAGAGATAACCGAGATAGTGGTAGCGGAAGAGAGAAGTAAGGACGATATGAGTGTCGTAAACCGCCGCTTGGACCGCCATGAGGAAGGCGTGGTGAAGAGAACTTGTGGCTCCCTTTCTGCGGGGCTGCATCTCGTGACCTCTTTGTCCGACCGCTAACGCTCTTTGTTCGGTTCGTGTTTTCGGGTCACCCGTAGAATTTGCCGCTGAATTGTTGGCTCGCCGAGTTTCGGTGCCCGTGCCACACCGCGAAACCGGCGGATACCCACGAAAACCAGCGATTTCGTGGTGCGACGCCGATGCTTCGGTCGTTTCGGTCCAAAGCGCGTGAGATCGAGTTTTAAGCCGGCCGACTATGAGAGCAGTTGACTAGGTGGCTTTAGTTTGAGGTGTACAATTCCTAAGAATTAATCCTGAATACGCGAATTATTCCGTAACTGCAAGCACCTGTCTGTTATAGCTTCATCTCATAGTATCATCTTATTGTTCTAATATACATTTGATGCGTGCTCAAAATATTCTAGCTTCATCTCATAGTATCATCTCATTGTTCTAATATACATTTGATGCGTGCTTAAAATATTCTAAAATATTTTAATATCGCATTATTGCTCACTAAAATTATAATTTCAAAAATTATTTTAATTATTCAGAACTATAATTTAAAAAATGAAGAAATTACACGCAGCGTTGTGTTTGTTGACGTTCAAATGACCCGTCAACTTCTCGTGCTCTCTACATTTAGTTGCGTGCTGAGATTAAAAAGAAACTTGAAACTATGCAGATACACGGATCTTTATCTTTATGTGCGCGAATGTTACATGCACGCAAGGCGTAAATCTAAAAAAAAAATAAAATGTCGCGCCATTGATTGCAGAAATTATTATCGAACAATGGAGTCATTGATAATAAAGGAATTAACTTCTAAATTTTCATAATCGAAGCGCCGATGATAATACTGGCGTGAAATTAATCAACAGACTTATTAATATACGAGGCCGTGCAGATAATTGTATGTACACGATCAATCATGTATGGTACCATTCATCGTTGCTGCATTTATAGCTGATATTGCGGCCCATCTTGTTGCGTACGAATTCAATAACTTTTACGATCCGCGGCCCGACTTAAAAACGGCGGGCCGCGATAGCCGCAGCAGAACGTAGTAGCAATCGTCAGTGTCTGGATCTCTCCTCACGTGATTCTAATGCAATCATCATGGGATCCTATCGAGCGATTCTTCTGCTGCTGATAGCGATTCAATTATATTACGGGAGTGTGTTGGCGAGATCAGCGTATTTGTCGGACGATCTTGACGATGATGTGCACTCGGACGATCTTGAGGATGATGTGCACTTGGACGCATACTCGGACACATATTTAAAAAGACTGAGGCTCAAACGACCCTTAAAAGTTGCGGGTAAGAAAGCACACGCAGACGATATTGCAGCAGCGGATTCGCGCAGGACACATTTTTCGGATCCTAATATAATATGGGCTCCGAAAAGAAACCAAGGAACCAAAAGACCCAGAATAGAGGCCAGACGGACACTGTCGAAGAAAGCACACGCAGACGATATTGCAGCAGCGCACAAGATACATTTTTCAGATCCTTATGTAATAAATCCACCGCCAAGGCCAAGGCCAAGGCCAAGGCCAAGGTTCATGTCGAGACGGACACTGTCGAAGAAAGAATCTGCAGACGAATACGCGGACGATGCGCGTCGAGAAGCGAGGAAAAATAAATATTTGGATAAGTCTGAAAAAACCCGCAGGCATCCTTATATCCGAACAAAGCCATACATACCACATAAACAAAATATTTTAAAAGCATTAAAGGATAAAGCGGCGAAGGATGAACTCGCCGACGATTATGCACGAGCGGCGAGGGATGAACTCGCTGACGATTATGCACGAGCGGCGAGGGATGAACTTGCCGACGATGATGTGCGAGCGGCGAGGGATGAACTCGCCGACGATGATGCACGAGCGGCGAGGGACGAACTCGCGGATGATGATGCACGAGCGACGAGGGATGAACTCGCTGACGATGATGCACGAGCGGCGAGGGATGAACTCGCGGATGACGATGCACGAGCGGCAAGGGATGAACTCGCTGACGATGATGTGCGAGCGGCGAGGGATGAACTCGCGGACGATGATGCACGAGCGGCGAGAGACGAACTGGCGGACGATGATGCACGAGCGGCGAGGGATGAACTCGCCGACGATTATGCACGAGCAGCGAAGGATGAACTGGCGGACGATGATGCACGAGCGGCGAGGGATGAACTCGCCGACGATTATGCACGAGCGGCGAAAGACGATCTCGATAATTACGGGAATGCTGGCGTGAATATTTCTCCTATATTTCTCCGATATCTATCGAAGAAAGATGTTCCTAGGAAATTAAAATATAAAAAGATATAAACTCTAAGAGATAACGCGAGAATTATCATGCGCTTATCATTACGGAAAATAATCATGTATAACGCTTAAAAAACCTACAAAAAACCTATCGATTCTCCAATCAATCTTGCGCTAAATTTTTGTTAATATTATTCTGATAATGATTAATAATATTATTTTGACAATGCTATTAGAACATTTATGATTAGAAAAGGATTGGTAGCTAGAATCCAGAATTATCGCGAAGAGTGCTATGGACAAATTATTTGGAAAGGAATTAACTGATATTCACACTGTACATCATTATGTAATTGCAAAAATAATTATCCGAGCTAATTTTGTCAATATATTATTGTGGAAACCTAACGTTTATTTTTATTTATATATCATGTCTAATAAAGGCGTTATTCTTGAATTTTTACTTTTTTTATTTATATCACTTTAAAATTAGAATAGCAAAATTGTTTTAGGAAATAGTATTTTAGGAAAATATTATTTCCTAATTAATTCATTCTAGAGAATATTAAGAACCAAGAATATTTAATAACATGACAGATCAGATAAAAATAGATCAGAAGAATTATTAGAAAAGTTTTTAAATAGATTAATTTATGAAACTTTATTAATATATTTTTATCATAAAATATAATATAAACAAATAATCTATCAATGAAATAAATAACGTAAACAAATTTCGCATTTGATATCTCAGTAAATAAATTAAGCTTGTAAAATAATTTAATGATAGAAAATATTACAATTTAACAATTTGTTTACAGAAATCCGCAAACTTCTTTCTTTTATATAAGAACTGCTCAGTTCTCCATTATTGCGTTTACACTTTATACCTGACAAGTTTCTAATACGAAGTATCATTTCGAGATTAACCTACGCCCGTAAACGTATTCAAGCGTACACGCCGTTCTACAAATTGCTCCGAAACACGTCTTTCGCGCCATTACAGGATTTGCGGCTGAATTATAGAGGCAGGTTTCCACGGGAACAGCCGACGAAAGCCGGCGATATCTGCGAACTAAACTGCCGAAAGGCGGCTTTATTGCAATGGCAGGAGCTGCAAGAGCGAGAATCGTGATCTCGGGATCGCCGGACAACGTGCCACGGTTCAGTGATTGTCGTTAGACGGAAGAGGAAGTTTATAAAAACGAGCTCTTCTCTCGTAGAATTGCTCGATTGAACTCCTACTTTCCCCGACTTCTGGATCCTTCCGCTTCTTTTCTCGTCTTGTCCATTTGCCAGCGAACTTCCTGTCGCGTCCTCGTAAACCCTCCTCTTCGGATAAACAACACGTATAATGCAATTTCTTAATCGTGTTACGTGAACTCTATCTACCACGCACGGATGTAGTTTTTAAAGTTATTAAATTAAAATGGTCTCTTAAATCGAGATGAAACTAGGTCCTTTACAACAATTGCGACATATAATTTTCTCTCTGTCCACCTTGAAAAAGGTTTCATAAATTCTACAGTTTCGAGTGAATTTTTATACGTCAAGCACTCGTTAAACGTTTTAATGTGGAAATCTTATATTCTGCGTTTAATATTTACAACGCGTTGTAAAAAATGTTATATATATATATATATATTTTATGTAAAAATATGCCGCTTTGCATTAATCATTCTGATTTCCTCTATTCGTTTAAGCAGATATCAAGATGGACGCAGAGGCAGCATTATTGGAAAACTCGCCAACCTTGTCGACGATCTCGTCGGATTCCACGGACGCGACGTATTCCGGACCCGACTCACCCTATTCTCCGGAATCGCCGATCATCGTCACGTCCTCTTATAAAAAAAAGCGTAACGATGAAGTCACGCCCAGACCAACGCCCAGACACCCATTGCCACCGAGGAAGCCGAGCTTCCGGATACGACCGCCCTACCTCATGATCTGTATTAGCATCATTGAGGTGAGTGAATGCAAAAAAAAACGATACGTAGAAATGCACGACACGTGGGAAATAACAATTGCGAGCACTTGACATATTCTGTCTGAGAAAGAGACGAGTGCTCATCTAACAGCCACGTAAAAAATCATTAAAAATGACAACTATTAATTCGTCAACTATCTGTTGTTAGTAAAATGTTCATTTCTAACTTAGTTTCGTAATGATTATTGTTAGGAATTTCTTACAGAGAACTATTTTTTATCTGAGAAGATAAAATTGCATAAAACAATAATAAAATCGAATTAACTACGATTTTATCGCAGTATTATATTTCTCTAAATCATAATAATTATCATTGTTTATAAAATGTATGACCATCCTTTCTTTTGTTAATTATTTCGTGTATTTTACTACTTTTCACGACGCATATTCATATTCCTATTACGCCCGGGCAAATATTATTCTAGCTGAATAAAATTTTCTCATCGTAGAACGCCGGAGTATATCGTGAACATTCCGACGAATGCAAGTCGAGTGGAAAAGAATAGTTGTAAAACGGTGCGCTGTAAGCTCCGAGATTTCTCATTAACGGAATCAACGTGTCGTGTTGAGTTCTCGAGCAAGGACGAAAGAAAAGCGCGATGGGAATTCTTCCCAATTATACGCGCGAATTCGCCGGAGAATACCGAAACGATATTCCGAGATGCCTGATGGCGAGAACTCCAAAAAAGCACGGAAGCTCCCGGCGGTTTTTCCGCTCGATAATAATCTCGAGAAGAAGTTCGTCTTGCATTTCAGTCGGAAAAGTCGTGTGAATAAGCAGCGACGGGTACGCGCGATAAAAATGCGCGGATTTAAAACCCGCGAAGTTACGCCGCAATTTCTTACTCGTTTACCACGGAACACGACGAAAGTTAATCACTTAGCCGCGGTTTTCTTTTGACTCATTGTACGAGTCGCGGCGAAACGAGATCAAAGTAAATGTCCTCCGCAGATGCTTAACAGTTCGGTTAATTTTGCAAGAGGCGGTAAAAGTTGAAGTATATGAAAATTAAGTACAAATATATATTCTTTGAATATTCATGCAATCTGGCGAAGTTTGCAGTTTGAAATTTATTATACTTGATACCGCACGTTATAAGTTTCAATTTTAATTAGTATTATCGAAGCAATCGCGTGATGCGTGATTATTTTTGTAGTTGAATATTTATTTAATTCTTTTAAAAAATCGGTAATTTTTAAATTGATATCTTCTAAAGTAATAAAATGCTGGAATTATATGTGATCACATAGGTGATATGAGAAAGAAGTTCACTTGAAAATAACATCAATAATTCTGGGATTGTTGTTGGGTTGCTTAGCGCTCGAGTTTAATGTTGCGAAGTTAGAATCAACATAAAATAATAAATTAATACATGATGTATAGAATATGTAAGTCGTGTTATAAGAGATTTATGCAGTGATGTAATAAATTATAATAAATATACTTCTTGGAATCGCGTGATAGTTTTTAATAATTCAGAAAATATCGATTTTAATACGCGAAAATAATAATTTACGGGTCTCTCTTCAAAGTGGAAAAAATTGCTATTTGCATTGGTTGTATAATCGCTCTCAAGTATATTAAAAATATTTTTGATATACTTGAGAAAGAAAAAATATAACCAAAACATAAAGTGGAAAAAAATTAATGCATATAAAAAGGAATTTAATATAAATTAAAATAAAATTACGCATATAGTGGAAAAATTTAGTGAAAAAACATCGGACAAACGTAATAAAAAAGATTTGAAAATATTAAATTATTTCTAATTCAATGATCATATAAAGTAATCTAAATAAAAAATGTATCATGAGAAGAGGAGATTTTTAAAATGGCTCAGCTAAATAGAAAGAAAGAGAGAGGACATTAATGTGCTCTCAAGCTTAATGAAACGCTCAAAAAGTAGCGTCGTGGTAGTTGGAAAAAAAGAAAGTTGATTTTCTCAGGTTCGCATATAATAATGTCTGAACCCCAGGTATTTTATCTCCGGGAAAATTACCCACGGACGAAGGAACGCGCGCTAAAGTGTATAAACCTAAAGCCGCGGAATTAAAGGCACCACTAATTCATGGCTGCAGTCCGTGAATTTCAACTTTATCGCGGCAGTATTGTCTGGTGAAAACTCGTTGTTGCAAGTGGAAGATAATTTGTAATATACGAGACAACGTGTATAAACACACGCGCCTGAGAATGCGCGCCGCGATGCTTCGTGCAAGGGTGGAAACAGAGAACATCGGCGGCGTTTTGCACGATAAAAAGAAACGAGCCGTAATATTTATCGTCCTGGCACGAATCGCTCCCGCGAATCGTTCCTCGGAATTTAAGAAACTTTACATCCGACAGGAAGCGCAAAATGTATGAAGCGAGAGAGAGAGAAAGAGTGAGAGGGGTGGAAATATATTGTAACAATAACCATCATATTTTTTTTAATTGTTCTTGGAATACAAACAATTTTTAAATTAAATAACTACGAATAAAAGATATTATGCGCATACTAATAATATAAAGGAAAATTGTAAGGCTGCTACGTATTCAAAACGTTTGAAATTACTTTTATTTTTAAAAGAAATAAAAAATAAATTTTAATTAAATAGAACGACAGAATGCATGATATATATTCTAATTTTACGCAAAAATAATTCAGTATAATTATATGGTCACATGATTATTACTATACGATGCAGTTATACGATAAAACGATAGCCGTGAATTTTACGTTCTGTAATGATGTGGCGAAGCATTAATTTATGTTTTAAATGCATAAACTTAAAACTACGAAGTTAAATGCATTTCTAATTCGCGGAAGAACCCGCGTTTCTGCTCTTAACATGGCGAAACCGACGAGCATCGCTAAAAGAGGACGGTGTGAAGGGAATGAAAACCGAGGGTGTTAACGCGCAACGGACCTCGAAGTGAGAAGCGGAAAATGATGAATTCCCTTGAAACGTTCTGCGGACCACCGGAAGTAGACGTTTCGCGCGTCGATTAACACAATAATACCAACACAGCGAATGTGCCCGGACAATGCGACTTTCGACTTTTTAGATCAAAAAAAGAGATGAATAACTCGGGGAAAATACTCTCTGAAAAAAGAGAAATACAAGAAAATAGAGTCATGCAATATATATGAAACATATGGCATTACTTATGGCTTAAAATATGATATAAATATTCGAAAGATGAAATATTCGAATAATTAATATTATTTGAAAAATTAGCGCTTATGTTTCAGATGTAGCGCTAAATATTTTTCTATGATCTTGAGACTATGACAAAATCAAAAAATTCGAAGAATGTGAAATTTGAATACGACTTAATTATTTCGTACTGAAAATTATGAAGGAATATAGAGATTGGTAAGCTCCACACCCTTTGTACATATTTGCATATCCTATGTACATTACTTGTGCCCGTAGAATATCCTGTAGAACTTCTGAAAGTTCTGTATTGATACTTTCAGAAATGTACACTATCAAGAATAGTTGGTGTATAATATAATTGAGATGTAATATACGTGCAGGTCGTAAAATAAAACGGGCCAAATTTAAATGGCAACTAATAATTTTTTTTTTTTATTAACGGTGGAAATTATTATTTTAATTTTAATTACATAAAATGATAAATAATGTGATTTACAATTTTTAATAGTATACCTTTTTTTATATATTTATCAAAATGTTGAGCACTTTTAGCGAATGCTATTAAAGTATTATTTGCTTAAAATTATTTATGAATATGATTATTTATGAATTATTATTTATGAATATAATTTCGTCTTATTCGCTCCGCTAAATTTGCGAAACGTATCTTTTATTTTTAATTGCTAAACATTCAAATCTATATTAATATTTTTGTTGAAAGGAGAAGTGCATTTTTAATTAATTATATAATTTATTATTTATATATAATCTATTTTTCGTACAACTTACATAAGAACATGTAGCACGCGAACGGCAAAATCATCGAATCGTAAAGTTGAGCGTATATTCACGATTTCTCCGGTTCGAGCAATTCCGTATGAAACAAAGTCTTCTTTACGTTTAACTTTAGGCGACGTAAACGTATCTCTCGCCCGCGGAAAGTATCGAGATTCAACTTGTAGTCACTCCTACTGTCTCGCCACTTTACTGCACTCCGAGCAGACGATAGCTGAAACTCGTAAAACGAACCACTGTGGTTTGCGTACCGTCTTCTGTCTGGTATGGTGGCCGTTTCAAACGGATTACCACATTGAATAGCGAATCGAGTTTTACCCAAACTTTTTGGTGAACCGTTGGTATTTGCGTTCTCAAAACCGCAATGTATTGTAGTATTTGAAAAAAATTACAGCAAAAATAAAGGAAGAAAGAAATTACGAATATTTTTTTACCTACGTAGTTGATTCTTGTATTTTTAAGTTTTTCAAAATTTGCAAATAATTAATCAGTTTACAAAATAAAAAATTATATATTGTATTTAAAGAAATATTGACATGAAATTACTATAAAATTGAATTTTTAGTCCTTATTTGGTTTCTTCCGGATACAGTTAGATATTGTTCGTGAGTGTTGCGAAAGCATGAGTTTCAAGTAAGCCAGCCAAATTTCTTCGCACAATATTTCAGCATGCTGTGCATATCGATATTGCATCACATTACGTGAATACTACGCGATATTACGTTCTTTTCTCGCGCCTTAGGAAAATGAAATTCCTACGCTGTAGGATGCGAACGCCTCTATAATTGCGAACTCCGACCAGAGTTCCGAGTGCGCCCCACATATACGCACAGACACTCGCGTGCACACATCCGTACACATACATGCAACACCAATTATACGGGCTGCTGCAAACATTTGCTTAGAATTCAGAATTAGAACACTGTATTGGATGAAATCACTGACTGTGATCACGCTAGGCTGACACATGGCGCGCTTGACAATAACCATCCGGATGTTGTTCACCCTTGCTTGAATAATCCTCCTTCATTATCATCTGTAAAGGTGAAGTGAGAGACAATGGAAACATTTAGGCTGCAGCAACGAATTCATATGAAATGAATAGTTGTCATTTTTTTTTAAATTTTATAATAATTGTTCCTTGTATATCCGTTATATTTTGTAATGGTATTTATGGTAATTAAGTTGCAATAATTTTGTTATTGGAAAATTATTATGTTCTATTTAACAATTTTAATTATTCCATTCATCTTAATTAATTCGTAGAATTTATTGCTTGAATATTACGAATTAGAATTAGAATTTTTGACACATACATAGATCAGTTTAATCAAAATAGTACTTAAAAATTTTGTTTTATTATTATATAATCATAAATCAAATATTATATCATGTACTATACCGTGGCTTATAACAGTGAAAAGTAAAATGTAATATAAATAGAGATTTGAGTGACGTACATTAATTTCTAGATTTATATCTTATATTAATCACAGCATGCGTATAAAGTGTCATAAAAGCAAGTCATAAATTTTAACGTTAATAACATTGTGCAGAGTTGAATTTCACACTCGCGATATCAGACGACAAAATAGTCAGCCTTATTCAGCGGACACTCGTTATCAAATTAAAATATTATCGCGCGATACAGCACGGGTGTGATAATGGACGATCATTTGCTGCAAATTGAACGCTGAGTTTTAACGGCCGTAAAAGTACTGTCCAAGATAGGGAGCGAAAAAAAACTACATTAAGCACGAACGACACCGAAACCTAGACGAGGTCGTAAAAACCGGGACGTCAGAATGGATAGCCCGGGAGGTATCAAGCTACCCCGAAAGAGCGGCACACCTGCTGACGCGTGTGATTTATGCCGCCGAGAATGTCTGTACGCGTGCATGCCGCCGGGTTGCAGAAAAAAAAACAAGCGACAATCGTTAAGGTTTATTTTAGAGACTTGCGCGCGCGCCCTGCGCCGGGCGTGCACGCATTCGCCGCTCTTTATTACGGTTACGATCAATTCCGAACGTAATCGGATGAGCAAGTTATTAAACGTGCTGAGATAAATTGCGCGCCGACTACGTTCGTAACATAAATATTTTGCGAACTGCGCGATTAATATTGAACGAAATCCTCCGATATCGCTATCCGCATATGGGGGCTGCTTAATAGGCTTGCTGGATCTTCGTAAATCATTGTGATCGATAATACGATTGATCGAATGTTCGATAACGGTTCAATTGCAAGGCGTTATATGATATCGTATTATTCGTTACATTGTACACACAGTTTTATCGTGGATTTTGATATAGTGCTCGTGTGAATATACGATCGTTCGATTTATCTTTTAGACAAATTTATTAAACGTCAGCTAAACGTTTAAATATATTGATTTTATGTGCAAAATATTGTTGGATCGAACTATTGTATTTTGAATTTTAGAAAATTTTGCCATTAAAACATGAATTTAATTAATAAATTTTTCTATAATATGAATAGAGATATAAATTTTCATGTGTGTAGTCTTTTCTTTATTAGAACTATAAAGAATTACAGTTAATAATATTTGTTAAAAGATGTATTATATTTATAGAATAGAATAAGGAGCGTCACGTGGTCCATTGAATAGTTTTTTTTGGGGGTTTTATGTCACTTCGTTTAATCTGGAAAGACAAGCGTTTTCTCCGTATTTCCGTGCGAGGCTCGGCGATAAAGACGCGTGGAACACGTTTTCCATCTCAGCGGAGAACCAAAAGACCACTTTGCTTCCTAGAGAGTTAAGTGTCGTTACGGGAAATAGCTGGCGCACCAGCGCCTCCGCAGAATCTGGGATAGCGCTTAATTCATGTACTCCCGTATCTTTATTTAGCTTCCAAGATACACAACAAATCTCAAGTTGCTAAGCCACATCTTTCTCTGAGGAATGTGAGAAATGCTTCTGTACGTAACTGTTACACATGCATCGAAACATTTCGGTGTTGAATATTAATAAAAGTAATTTAATAATAATAATAATAATAAATGAATATTCCGATTAATGAGATATAAATAAAATAAAATTTATATTATCGCAGCGAAAAAGCGCCAAAATATATACTAAAATAATTAATCAGTAGCGTGTGCTGTTTAACAGAGACATTGTCGATCGCAATTAATTTCAATCTTCAGTCTTCCGACACGTCTTTCACGGCATAATTATTTCCGTGTTCTTGAATATACGCCATTTCGCCGTACGCTTCTCTGCATAATATTCTGCGGCAGAGGCAAGCACATTAAACGTGCTTTCACTCGTAACAGATAACCGTCCATTGCCTGGGAGACGAGGCAACGTTACGGAGATGGTTGGTCTACGATCCCCGTCAGAGGGTGCAGGGCTGGAGGTTTGTCTCCTACATGCTGCTGCACTCGAACGCACTTCACCTCGCACTCAACGTGGTCATTCAGCTGGTCCTGGCCACTCCACTCGAGGTGAGCCAATCAAGTAAATTGCGGGGACGTCGCTCAGCTCGCCTGTCGAGACGCCGCGTTTAAGAGAGCGGGCCTCTCCTGTCGATGCCTTTTCGCCCACGATTAAATCGGATAACATTTGCGTATCGACAATTAAATCGCTCCCGTTGAAATATTCAAAATCGCTGGATCGATAAATGTTGGGCGAAAAGCATATCTTTTAGGAAATATTATATGTGCGTTCTACACCTATATTTTAGATTGACACAAAAATCATATTCGTCAAGTAAGATTGAAGAGTAAAATTGCAAGGTTTTAATAGACTTTTTATGAACCAAAATAATCGCCATTGACTCGAATATATTTTTTCCTCTGGAAACAAGATTTTATATTACAATGAGAATGCTCTTAGAATGGAAATCGATAAATTCACTTAGAATAGATCTTCACGAAAGAAGCGACAAACTTTTTGCACCAACTTAATATTAATGACGCGAGTAAGAAAAATTATTTCGATAAATTAAATATTTATTCGAAATTACATTTTATTTCTTTATGCAATGCACATTGAACAAGATTGAAAAATAAGAGTTTTAGATGAAATCTGTATTGTTTTCGAATAAGAAGATGTTCGTACGAAGCGATTTATAAAGATTGTCATAATCCCGCATGTTTATAAATGGACAAGAGTTTTTACGTAAGCAGATAAGAACGTAGAAAGCTCATGGTTGCAGGTGGAGCAAGGGCGAATAGGGGTGGCGACGATCTATCTGGGTGGCGGAGTCTGCGGCGCTCTGGGAGCGTCGCTTCTGCAACCTAGTCTTTACCTGGTCGGCGCTTCAGCCGGTGTTTACGCACTGCTCACGAGTCATCTCGCCCATCTCTACCTGGTAAGCGAGAGAAAAAAATTCCTTAATCTCTAAGAACGCAAAGCTTGGCGGACGTAAAGCGCCCGTTAACGACCCTTCCTCCTTAAAAGTCCGCGGAACGTAAGAAGAGAAAAGCTATTTAAAAAAAGAAGTTACGCTAAAAGACGCAGGAATGTTTTCGCTCGAAATATTCTCGCGAATTTTTTAATAACACTAACAATAGCGAATAATAGATTTTCTTTGGAAAAAGTAGCGATAGAAATTCTTTAGAGTCAAACACGTCAGTCGCCGTGTTGCATTTATGATCGAAGTTTCGACTACGCGAACTCGACAGTCAGTTTTTTTTTTCGAAATGAGTGGACCGCGAAAGTAGCGGATGAAATTTACAGATTAAACTTTTGCACAGCTTAGCTCAGTAATTAAAACGATAGAGCCTCGACGATAGAGCCCGATTGCCGTAGCGCAGCTTTTTGTTTCTCGTTCGTTGCAGTGCCACGGCGAGCTGCGCTACGCCGGCTGGCGTCTCGGCGCCGTGCTGCTGCTGGCCGGTGCGGACGTCGCGTCGCTGCCCGTACCGGCGCTACTCGGATGCGGTCGGGTCGGCTGGGCGGCGCACGTCGCGGGCGCGCTGGCGGGTCCACTTCTGGGCCTGGCCGTGTTCCCGAACCAGAGCAAGAAGGACGCCCGGGGCCGCAGGTTCGTGCGATACGTGCGGCTGCTGTCGGCCGTGAGCGTGATGCTGCTGATCGTCGGCGCCGTCCTCGGCAACGTCTATCTGATCGCCCTGCCGCAGCTCAGGAAGCCATCCTGACAAAGGATCGAAATGCTCGTCAAGCTCTGCAGACGGTCCTTCCTGATCGTGAAGATCCGGGAGGCCGCCGAGAGTGTGTTCGAGTAGGCGCGCTCGGAAGAGCGGATGAACATGAAAAGACCGAACTGTGGACTTGCATGTGAGATCTCAGCGTCGATCGCGCGGAGTGAACTTTTTTCCGCTCCTCATCTTTCTGATCTCGCGTGAATCCTCGTGCCATCGGAAGATAGTCGCGCTTTCGTCGTGATTTCGATAAATTCGTGTCAAAAAAAAAAGTTGCCCCTGTACTTCTCGTGTGATTGATAAACCGGGACGATCATACAAGCGAGCATCAACGCTCGATGAAACGATAGAACCAAAGATCGACGATTCGCGTTGTCGAACCCGTTCACACTACTCGCTGCCATTAGAATCTCTAGAGGATCTCAAAGACTCTCAAAGATGGAGTGCGCGATTGAATGGCGAAATGTATCCGATGGTGAATACAAATCGTGACTCTTCACGCCTGACACTTTGATAAATTTGATATTGCAAATAAAATTAATAAAAGTTGCGACTTTTTTATAGACAAGTAGGACGTTCAAAACTGCCGATCGCCGCAACCATTCGACAAGATCGAGTTGTGTATGAATGATACTTAACGATTCTTAATGACTTCTCTCTCTCGCTATATCAATCTCGCTGTAGCGGCGAACAAGAAAAGACTCTGCAGATGTGAAAAATGTGTGTATAATAAGAGTAAGAAAAATCATAACACAATATAAGAGACGATATGCATTGACGGGCGTGTAAGTTTGCCCAGGAGCGGCGAACGATTATTGTAGAATGTGAAAGTAATTTATTTGCATAAATACAAAGGAAGAAGAAACAATTGTTATGAGTGGTAAGAAACCGCGATTCCGCGGATGTTGAAGCCGGCGCGCGTCGCTGGCGATATATTATTGACAATGGGATACCTTCACCCTTTTCCATTCTTCGTATTAACGGTTTAGCGTGTACGAGATATTGTAAGAAGGTGTGTATAAAATAAAATGATCATATTATTAACGTAAACGTGTTATAATGTAACGAAGATTTTAATAATGGCAAGATAAATGTATCGATCGTTAATAAACCAAAGTTTAACAACGTGCGACTGATTACGAGCGATGCCACGTAAACTCTGAACGAACTAATCCGCTGTCGTAGAAATAACATCGTAATCTTGAATCGTCTCTCGACGTTATCGAATAATGTAGAGCGGGAGGATAACGGAATTAGTGGAGTCTCTAAAACGAATTTCTATACCTTGAGCCAGAGTCCTGCCATGCTCCCCGATAAATGTGCAAGAGCGAGCAAGATCTTTTATAGCGTAACAATAACGTAAAGATAATCACGTTTCTATTTGCGAAGCTGTAAACCCGCAGAAATATTCATAGCGTAGCGTAGTATCTTTAATCACGATGCTAACTGTGCAGAGGTTGTTAAGAGAGTTCGTGTGCGTACAGATTTGAAGCGTTCATCAATTTTCGATCGTGTTATTTCTCTCCGCTTCAATTTATCACAGCTAACGGCCACATCGAACGATAACATAAATTATCGTTATTAGTTTGGATTAACAGCTCGGTTAATTAACTGGCTTGTCGGAATTTTCTAATAAACAATTAGGTGAAGATAATGCGATCTAATCAGTTGTGGCTCATTTCCCCGAAATTGATCCAACTGACAACTCTTATTTCACTCGAGAGTTTCCCGAATCACTTCCGCGGATTAATATTCAAAGGGAAGAATTTATTGCTATTAACAAAATCACACTCGCGCGCTGTAAGAGAAATATCGGCGCCGAAGTGAATTATATTCGTATAATTTCGCGCATACATACACACACACACACGCACGCATACATACACACGTGTAGCGATGTAGAATGAAAAAGTTGAGAAAAATGATGTGTTCTCCCGGGCAATTAGTCGTATACTCGTATATCTATTTGTTTATCAATGTTACATGAGACGAACTGGCTGTGATTATGTTAGTGTTGTCGTCGACATGATTATATTATGAAACCTTGTAAATATGAATTATCAAATATAGATATGATTACACATTCAGCTCTCATATACGTACTGTGATTTCGCCGCGAGTACATAATGAGGCCCCGTTATCTCCATTGTATATCGGAACAATCGATTGCCTGCAATAAAGTCAAACGAATCGTACGACGTGTTACAAGCTAATACAACCTACAATCTCGGAGCACCATCTTCCTCTCTATTCGCACCAATAATTGTTCCGATTTAATGCCCGCCGTTATTATTCCGTGTAATATTGAGAGCGTATCGTATTGCAAAGATTAAACTTCATTATATTTGCCACTGCTGCGCCGTGATTTCGATCGAAATCACCGGTTCTTTTATGAAAGATTTATATTTTCCCAAACAATTTCCGATGTATATTAATTAAACGCTTTAATAATGTTTGGTCGTTTAAATTTTCGTGATAAAGCGATCTTTGGCGAACTTTTTCAACGGCATTACAAATTTTGCATTTTCCAGAAAAATTTAAAAAATCTGTTGCATTGGATAGAGTTGGTTTTTAAAAATGTGAAGATTAAACGGCTTTATAAAAATTTATTTCATCGGAAATGAATGCATATCCTGCATATGAATGCATTATATTCTGCATACAAAAGAAAAACGAAAAAAACATAAAATATAATAAAAAGCAAAAAAAAAATAAAAATGAGATGATGTAAGAATTTATTAAAATGAATATAATACATATAGCCTCTATACGACATTTAAAACAAAACCTGTGAATTTTCAAATTGAATTAGATATTATCAAGCATATAATATATAATTAATAAGCATAGTTGTAATCCTTTTCTCCAACAAACGAATTTTATGCATTATTTGCTGGAATTTAATAAAATCTCTACGAAAGCGAAGGTTTTATTCATTGCCGATGTAATTTAAATCGCTTTTGTTTTGTCAATGCACAAGTAGGTATATTGAAAATTGCATGCGAATTTTTCAAGGGTGTAAATGATAATTACGACGCATAAAAGAGAAAACTTTCAAAATATCTAATAATAAAAAGTTTTATACATCACAACAAAGCATTCTTACAACTCTCGATATAGTATAATAGTTACAGCAGAATACGGAATCCAATGCACTTACATATTAATGTCTACTTAGTGCTTTTAATCTATTTTTCTTTAACCATTGTGCCGATTCAAAAAATAATGCTGAAATAATTAACAATATTTATTGACTCGACGTCATAATCTTTAATATTATTTTAGTATCGTCGACAACAACGTCCGTTGTTGAC